AGTTGCCAAGGTTGGACACCCCTGATTGAAACGGATGTCTTGCTACCCGTGCCTATGCACAGGAAGGTGCAATTATCGTGGTCCCTCGCTACTCCTTGTAAATTGGTTCCAGGAGGCACAATGAGTACTAAAAACGATGCATACCAAACAATACACGCGGCTGACCCCGTGACTCTCTGGACTTTTTAATCTGTCCCTTTTCCTATGTCAGTGACGTTCCCAGTATGGCCGACTTCCTGTCCGTCCTCTGTGGCTGTTCCCTTCGTCCTGGTGCAGCCTGTCGAGTACCAAACCAACGACGAGTGCCGGTTTAATCTTTCCGCGTCAAAATGTGTCAAGTACCCAATTCGATGGGTTTTGGAGCAGTCGGGTACTGAGGGACCACTGTCAACTGCTTCGTTGCTTAAAAGCCCTATGCACAGGGACCCTGATGGCGAACCTATGGCATGCGTGCCCCAAAGTGGCACACAGAGCCATTTGTGTGCGCACGTGAGCCCCTGCCAAATTTACCTGCACGGTGCATGCGTGCACTTCCCAGCTGATTTTGGGCCCATTTGAGGCCTCCCAGAGGCTCGTGGGAAGCCTCTGCAGCCTCAGGAGGCCAAAAAAACAGGCCAGAAGTGCCGAAACGGGCCGGTTTTCAGCCTCCCGAGGCCGCAGAGGCTTCCCTGGAGCCTCCATGAGGGCGAAAACAGCCTCAAACGGGCCGAAAATCGGCTGGGAGGCGCACTACATGCGCAGTGCAGGTAAGGGGATGGGGCAGGGGTGTTGCGCACTCATGCGCACGGGGGCGGGGCACATTGCATTTTGGGTGCCGGCGCATGCGCAGTTTTGGCACACCGCAACAAAAGGGTTCCCCATCACTGCACAGGGAATGTTCTCAACTGACAGTCAGCCATCTGCTAAGAGTTAGATAAAGGTCAGCTGAATTCAAGAGAAGTTGACGTAGTTCGTTTGTGACTACGTAGGGATGCCAGGCTGATTCCTGTTTTGACTCCAACCCCAGTTTGGGATGGGATCAAAAGTTCCCAAGTTTTGGAAAACGGAGATCGTATAAAGAATGAAGCCTCGTAAGGGCTGTTGTGGAGAGGCTGTCTGGTGTAAATGGGTAAGGCACCCCCAGGCTAAAAAGCAGGAGACCCCAAGTTTTAGCCTTGGATGCTAAGCCAGCTGGCTGACCTTGGGCCAGTCACTTTCTCTCCATCCGAAGGGGAGAATGGCAAACCTCTCCCAAAAATGTCGCTTAAGAAAACTGCAGAGATTTCTCTCCAGGTGGTTGCCAGCACTCAAAAATGAGGTAAATAATTAGGCCAGGTGGTCTGCAACCTTAAACACTCAAAAGAGCCATTTGGACCCGTTTCCCACAGAAAAGAAAACCCCGGGAGCCAATAATTTAACAACCAGTGTAACTGGGTGGGCGTGGCCAACTCCACGTCACTCACGCCCACCCAGCCACCACCTACTCTGGTACATGGAGCAAGTCTCCATCCCCCGCCATCACCCTTACCTTCTCAGGCCAGGCGAGGAGCGACGGGGAGGGGAGTGGTGGGGCCAGCCGGTGGTGGGATCAGCCGACAGGGAGCCGCAGCAGCAGCGGGCCGAAAGAGCCGCATGTGGCTCCAGAGCCCCAGGTTGCCAACTCCCGAATTAGACAAGTCAGTCACAGTGAGCTATTGTCCGGCTGTGAGATTATTGGGGTTCGGTCAACCGAAGATGCAGTGAAGCCATTTTGACTTTGACCAACCGAACACCTTGGGACAATTGCTTCCTCGACAGGTTAAGTGCCATCTACGGAGGGACCTACATGTTGAACAAACCCATCGAAGAGATTGTCGTCGAGAACGGCAAAGTGGTCGGCGTGAAATCGGAAGGAGAGGTAGAGCGAGGCTCGCTTTTTTCTTCTTCTTCTCGGCTCCAGGCACGGTTGTGGGATGGAAACCAGGAGCTCAGCATTTCCTGGGTCTCCTTCCTTTGAAGGCCTCTTGAGTAAGCCCCGAGTCTTATTCCCTAAGCGCCCCAAAGATTCTTCAACATGGAGTAATCGGTTAAAGATGGAAGGTTGTTTTGTGACGTTGCCAACTAGTGCTAAAAGGGAGAGGGATTTGTGGAGAGGAAGAGAACGAAAGGGGGGAAGAGGAAGAGGGGGAGGAGGACTATGAAGTCCTCGGTGCTTTCTGAGCTGGGTTGTTTGCAGGCGTTTCATGACCCAACTAGGGAACATCATCAGTTGTACATGATACCGCAGTCAAGAAACTACCAACTCAGATAAATAATCAGTAACCAACAGCCTAATTAAGGAACCTCCAAGAACCACCACTGATAGGGCAAGTCATTTGTATAGATACAGAGAGCAAACCCCACATTCCCTCCTAGCGTTGATGATATTACCTAGTAGGGTCAGGAGATGTTTGCAAGAAAACAATCAAGCTTAGAGAGGACCAAAGTCTCCTCCTGCTCCTCCCTAGCACTGATAATCTTAACACACACACCAAAAAAATCTCTTCATAAACCTCACTCCCTTCCAGAACTGATGATACTATCTAGCTGGGTCATGAAATACTCTGTTTTCCCAAAAATATGACCTACCCTGAAAGTAAGTCCTAGCTTGATTTTTACACACATGCCCAATATAAGACCTACCCCCAAAATAAGCCCTAAATGAGATCCCGCCAGTCCAGAGTGCACAGGTAAAAATTAAGCCAGGGTGGGGATTGGGAGGTGGTGGAACTGCCCTACTACTTACCTTTGGATAGTTGTAGCCAGACATGGCACATCCCGACACCTGCCTGGCCGGCCCATTTCTTCTGCAGCTGGCAAGGCTTTCCTGAAGGCCTCTGGAGCTGAGAAGAAAGCTCTGGATCGATCCAGAGCTCTGTTATTGGTTTGCAGAGGCCTTCAGGAAAGCCTTGCCAGCTGCAGAAGAAGAAGTTCCTGAAGGCCTCAGACAGCAAAAAGGAGGCTGTGGGCAATGCACGCAAGTTAGGTTAGTCAGTGGATAACGTCCCCTGAAAATAGGACCTGGTGCCTTTTTGGTGGCAAAACAAAATAAAAATAATACAGGGTCTTATTTTTGGGGAAACACAGTATCTGCAAGAAAGCCACCAACCTCAGAGAGCACTAAGGACTCCGACTCCTCCTCTCTAGTATTAACCACCACCTCCTCCTCCTCTCCAAACCTCACGCTCCCTTCTAGCGCCTATGATCTTCCCTCGTTGGAAACCACCAAGCTCAGAGAGCACCCAGGGCCCCCACCGCTCAACCCTGGCCTATGGATATCCTCCCATGGGCTTGCCCCTATCTTCTGCCATTCCCCATCCTACGGCGTTCTCGAACCCTCTTCCCCTTTCCCTCCCCCTCCCCCGCAGATCGCCCGTTGCAAGCAGCTCATCTGCGACCCCAGCTACATCCCGGACCGCGTGAAGAAGGTGGGCGAGGTCATCCGGGTCATTTGCATCCTGAACCACCCGATCAAGAACACAAACGACGCCAACTCGTGCCAGATCATCATTCCCCAGAACCAAGTGAACAGGAAGTCAGGTGATAATTTGGGGGAAGCGCGAATACGGGTCTCTCTCTCTCTGTCCTCTCTCTCTCTGTCTTTCTGTCTCTCACTGTTTCTCTGTCTCTCACTCTGTCTCTCAGTCTGTGCCTCTGTCTCTGTTTCTCTCAATGTCTCTCTCTCTGTCTCTCTGTCTGTCTATCTGTCTCTCTCTTTGTCTCTCTCTCTGTCTCTCTCTCACACACTCTGTCTCTTTCTCACTCTGTCTCTCACTGTCACTCTCACTGTGTCTTTCTGTCTCTCGCTGTCTTGTCTCTCACTCTGTCTGTCTGTCTCACTCACTCTGTCTCTCACTCCTATGCCTCTGTCTCTGTCTCTCTCACTGTCTCTGTCTGTCTGTGTGTCTCTCACTCTCTGTGCCTCTATGTCTGTTTCTCACTCTGTGTCTCTGTTTCTGCTTCTCTTTCTTTGTCTCTCTCTCTCTGACTCTCTTTCTCTGTCTCTCTCTCTATATCTGTGTCTCACTGTCTCTCTCTCAGTCTCACTCTGTCTCTTGTCTCTCTCTTTCACTCTGTCTCCCTGTCTCACTTTCTCTCTCTCTGTTTCTCTCTCTCTCACTGTTTCTCTCTGTCTCTCCATCTCACTCACTCTGTCTCTCTGTTTCTGTTTCTCTCTGTCTCTTTGTTTCTCTCTCTGTGTGTGTCTCTGTCTCTCTTTCTCTCTTGACATGGTGTTGGGTTTGTGGCTTTGGGTCTGGCCCCTTTGGATTGGCAAATCTATCATGTCTTTTTTTTTTTTTTTTAGACATCTACATCTGCATGATCTCGTCCGCCCACAACGTGGCGGCCCAAGGAAAGTACATCGCCATCGTGAGCACGACCGTGGAGACCAGCGAGCCGGACAAGGAGATTAAGCCTGCCATGGACCTCCTGGAGCCCATTGAGCAGAAGTAAGGCTGTTGTGTCAGGATTCCAGCCATCGCCCTAATTAAATCATTATTCTTGAGCCAAACTGCAAAAAACTGCAAAGGATTCATTAGAGGCGACGTACATAAGGGGCCTCTGTGGGGCAGTGGTTAGAGTGCAGTACTGCAGGTTACTTCTGCAGCCAGCTGCCTACAATTTGGCAGTTCAAATCCCACCAGGCTCCAGGTTGACTCAGCCTTCCATCCTTCCAAGGTGGGTAAAATGAGGACCCCGATTGTTGGGGGCAAGAGGCTGTAAACTGCTTAAAGGAAGTTGTAAAGCACTGTAAAGCGGTATATAAGTCTAAGTGCTATTGCTATTGCTATACTGGCCCTGCTCTGTATGAAGCCAACTCTGGCCTACGTCATTTACAGTCCCCTGTGACCCTGTTTCCCCCCTGGGTGTCTCCTAAACCAGGTTCTCCAATTGAGCCTGTTCACGGGCTGGGTGTCATCAATCACATTCTCCGATTAAATACATTCACGGGCAAAAGCTCTGGTAGTTTAGCTACAATCTTTTAAAGATAAAGAGTTGGAATGTACTTCCGCTTCCAAACTGCTGCACTGCTCTTCCAGATTTCCTTCCTCCCCCCCCCCCCCCCCTTTTTAATGGCAGCTATTAAAAAAGGCCTAGGAATGTTTTATGAGTTGACAGCTGGCCTGCTGGACTTCGGCTGAGTTGGGTTGGCCTGGCCCCCCTTTGCCGGTGGTGGGGCAGTCGCCGTTCTAGACTGAGGGATTCTGGGAGGTGAAGTCTGCAAGCCTTAAAAGTTTGCCAAGGTTGAGAAATGTAGATTCCCAGGTCTTAATTAAGAGAACCAATAGGAAGGCCTCAACCCAGGACTGTCCAACTATGGCAACCTTTAAGACTGGTGGACTTCAATTCCCAGAATTCTTCCTGCTGCCCGGCAAATTCTGGGAGTTGAAGCCCACAAGACTTAAAGTTTGCCAAGGTTGAGAAATGTAGGTTCTCAGGTCTTAAGAGAACCAACAGGAAGGCCTCAGCCCAAGAGTGTCCAACTATGGCAACTTGGAAGACTCCTGGACTTCAATTCCCAGAATTCCTCCTCCTGGCTGGGTGAATTCTGGGAGTTGAAGTCCACAAGTCTTAAAGTTGCCGCGGTTGAGAAACACACCCTTGGGAAGAAAGAAGAGAACCCAACAGCAAGTTGTGTCCAACTGTGGCAACTTTTTAAGACTTGTGGACTTCAACTCCCAGAATTCCTCCTGGCTGGCTGGCTGGGGAATTCTGGGAGTTGAAGTCCACAAGTTTTAAAGTTTGCCAAGGTTGAGAGAAACAGATGTTCAGGCCTTGGGAAGAAAGAAGAGAACGCCCAACAAAGGCCTCAGCCCAGGAGTGTCCAACTATGGCAGCTTTTAAGACTTGTGGACTTCATATCCCAGAATCCCCCAGCCCAGAGGTTCACAAGTCTTAGGGACACCCCTGCCTTAGCCTCAGGAGGTCAAAATGTAGCAGATTTTGGTTTTGCCAAACTCGCACCTGCCAGAGGCCTCCGACAGAAATTCCAATATAGAGTTTGATTGCTTATTGTCCCCTATGACAATCATTAAGTGTTGTCCCTTATGATTCTTGACTCTTGAAGAATGTCTCTTTTCTTTTACGGACACTGAGAGCATTTGCACCAAAGACAAATTCCTTGTGTGTCCAATCACACTTGGCCAATAAAGAATT